TTATTAAAGAGACCTTTACTGTTTGAACTTATGATATCGACTATATCAGCGATAAATTTCCTCTTGCTGGGTGGAATAAAAATTTTCTACAGGTAATGATAACTGACTTGTGGCTCAAGAAATTCCTCTGATAAATTTAGAATGATCAAATGAAATTAGCACGAGATTACAAGGATCCATTATCAAAAGGATTTTGTTTCACACAAACTTGTACCTTATGATGTATTCCTCAAGGCAATCTTTGCAAAATCTGTGGCCACATCTCGTTTGAATTGGCTCTTTAAGGGGTAAATGACATATCAAACATTGCAAATCTTCATCAACGGCTTCCACAAAGTCCTCGTCATAGCCTTCTGGGTGGTGTTCATCTGTTGTGGATTCCGCCATGATGAAAACTTTCGGTATGCAAATCAGACAATGAGCTTTCAAAATGCACGTCGATTTGACCTTTGATACAAATTGTTGATGTAACGAATCATATAGGATCTCCTGACTACTGAACTCACGCAAAATCTGCTTTTTTCATGCAATCGTTGTAACGTGCTCCTCTTGACCAACATAAGAACACAGAACACCTTTCCAGTCAGCAAATCGGATTTACTAGTGTTTGTCAAGGTGTGCAAATGTGGTGCAAATTTGGGGCTCTAAATTTGAACTGAATTTGCACCAGCTGTAAACTGAAGGTAAACTCAAGTATTTGTTCCTGACAAAACTGCCTGCAAATGTGATGTAAATATTACATTTGCTTAACATTTACCTTACATTTGCTACCAAGGTAAACCTGGAGCTTTAACACATAGTTGTCAAGCATTTGCCTTCGGTGCAAAAGTGACCTATTTACTATTAATGCAATTACAAGTAAACATTATGCAAAACAGTTTGTTTGCAGCATTTTTCAACCATATTTACTTGCAATAGAAATAAGTACCTTTGCACTTAATACACTCTAATTTGCTAATTGAGCAAAGCTGTTCATTTGCTATAAATTTGCACTGATGTCAAACAAACAAAAATAAAACCCCTACTGAGTGGCCATTTGCCAGTTCCCTAAGGGTGGCTGATTAACTGGGTTTGACTGTATTCAGAATAAAATTTGATATAGATGAAATTGGAAGTAAATGAGATTGATCTATTTACCTTTGCTAGAAATCTGAGGGAAGTAACAATTCAGGCCACAGGCCTGTCAATCATCCACTTAGAGGCTGATTACAAGAGTCAGGCTGGCCTGCCCATATAATGTGATCTTAGAAAACAGTCAACTCAGCTCATGTAATCCACTCCTTATTAAAAATAACTAATAGAACAAACAAAAGTAGCAGGCCTCTGCCTACCACAGATATAACATTTTATTGTCTTCATAAACACTGCAAACATATATTGCATGTGGAAATTATTATTATTTTAGCTGTTATCACACAAAACTGACAAATTATTTTGATTGGGCTGAACAAATTGTCTACAATATAAATCATGTGTTATATAGATCATGTCTTCAAAAATCAAGTCACAATTATTCCTAAGAAACTCTCATATACAATTAAACTAAATAAATAGTTTTACAAATCAAATACCTTGGTATACAGTTAAAGAATGGGTAGAAGAAAGACTTCTGTCACTTGAAAGCACTGAGTTACAAGATGTGCCATTTGATGACCCTTACAAATTTTCACCATTCAGATTCAGAAGCATACAGTTTCAACAGGATCACCTGAGAAAGAAATTTCTTGAAGAAAGTGATATAAGATCTAAATATTTATCATGCATGTCCTGATGTAACTGCAAAGTGTCTTCATCTGTGCTTTATAGGATAGCACCAAAATCTCAATTTATACTATAGATTTACTGCAAGTAAATGTAAATGCAATATCAAAACTGAGTGAACCAAGTTTTATCCAATTGCCAATATCCGGATACCCAAGTAATAACTACTGCGTCATTTACAAACAATAAGAATAATTGATACATAATAGTTTGTGTTTCCAGCACTCTATAAAGGCAACAAAAAATAACTGTCTGTATCAAGCATTACTACAATGAGGTTAGCACTTGGTTATTCTCTGTAGTTAGTCCTTTTCTTCTTATTTTTTTTTTGTATATGTACAATACAATTGTATATGTATATTGTGAAATTTTTATTTCATGATTATTGTAAATTTCATTTAATATATTCAAACTATTTATTCATGAAAATCTCCCTATGAAACTGACATACTGTATTAATTTTACAGAAATATCTATTAATCTGTTGACTTAATCCAAAGCTTCAAATCAAACAGGGTAACAATTTTAGCAACACAATTGCAGTACCACAAAAGCACTGACTGACAAGATGTGCCATCTCATCATTTGCCAACCTACAATGTGCCATTGAGAAAGCTTTCAGTGCTCTTGTGGGAACAAGTCTGGGTAGGAAAAAGAACAGATTCCTCACTCCCCCCCCCCCCCCCCCCCAAAAAAAAAAAATCTAAGAAACAGTGAACAGTTTCAACAGGATTGTTTGTTAGTAAACATATATTAATCACTTGATATGTAATTTTAGTCGCCCCTCTAGTTCATCAATTATCTCACTTAATTGTGGTCTTAACTCAGGATCACTAAGAATGCACTTTTTCCCCAAAGTACAAAGGAAGTGGCATTGGAGGTATGTACCAACTGCACAGATCACTCTTCCAAAAGAGAATACATCACTGGCATGTGAAGGTGGACTGGCACCACAGACAATTTCAGGAGCAATGTGACCATGCTTACTTTTGTAAAGTTTTTGTTCTTCAGGAGTGAAATGTTTCACAAGGGAACCAACTGCTGTTAAAGCTACACATTTGCCAAAATCAATTAATATGGCACGATACTCATTGTTTACATGTGAGATAAGGACATTATCTGCTTTGATATCTCTGTGAAGAAATCCTTGTTTATGTAAATAGGATATTGCCTGAGCCAACTGATTGATCAAGGTCAGCCAAATAACCTGTGAAAGGTTCAAACTTCTGCTCTTCAGTGCCAAAGACAATGTGTAAGGCTTGTCCAAAACATGGTAAAAGGACGACACTAGATGGTAAGGCTTTGAAAGAGTACACATCCCAATAAGAAGAGGAAAATTTGCATGTTTGAACTTTGACATGACTCTTGCCTCCTGTTTGACCTCCTCTGCTGTAGCAGAATAAAATGTTTTAACTGCAACAGGATTGCCCCTGTAAAACATCTTGTTGCAGCAACCAAACACACCAGAACCCAGATGTACCTTCACTTCCATTCCAGATTCATCTTTTGGGGGCTCCAAAAGGGCACAGTCAATTTCCACAATGGATTCACATGTTGCTTTTGCAATGACCTACATTTCAGCAAGACAAAAATTAATGTACTGTAAATCCTTTGTTAGCCCCCCTTTTCAGAGCAGGAAATAAATCATAAATAAATGCCTCTCTAAATGTTGTAATGTATTTATTTATTTAAACAGATTTTTAAATAGCGATTTCTTTTCATGGTAACGTGAATGCAGTGACACCAAGGTCGGATCAGCAAATGTAGATGGAGTCACACTTTCAACATGGCTGTTTTATTTGAAGTTAAGAGTTTGAGATGATGGTAAAATTTATTCTAATGAGGAAGACTTGGTCAAACAGCGTCAGGAGGTTGATGCAGTGACTCATTCTCTGACAGGACCCTAAACCACCCTCACCCCCTCCTCCTCCACTTTAATTGATGCACCCGCTTAAAAACCTTTCCGGCTATGAAGATTTAAAATATAGTACACACCTTCCCTTGCGCTACAGATTGCCTTGGAATCAATGTCCTAGCCTTTCTTGAAGCCTCCTCTCGCTTGAGAAGTGAGTGCCATCGATCATAATATTTTCTCGCTATATAGTCGCATATCTTTCGTTGTTTCTCGAGGCGAGCCTTCTCGATCTTTAATCCAGACGCAAGTGTCTTCTCTTTGTTAAGGTTTCTCTGTAGTCGTTTCCGTTTTTTCCTTCCTCTTTTCATTCGTCTTATCTCCTCCTTTGTGTTTTCACGGCTTATCCTACCCATGAACACGATAAAAAATGTTGAAAATTATTATAATCTTGCCCTTGCCTTGCTCGTAACATCAGATTCTGTTTTAAGGCGCCAAAACGACCGCTGACCAGCGAGTAGTTAACTTCAAGATTTTCGTCACCAGACTTTTTCGGACTATGCAATGATAAAAATGATAACAAACTTTTTTTTCTGCTGAAGGAAATCACTACTAAGTGGACCTTGGAGAAAAGAGGGCTGGGAGGAATAGCAAATATTCCCCCCCTCCCCCCCCCCAAAAAAAAAAAAAAACAATTGTCTGTTTGGGTCTAACAAGGTGCGCACAGTAAAAAGGGAAGGGGTGATCTAGGATGGAGGAATTTGATACTTCAATGGTATTAATCTAAATGAACTGTACAAAAAATTACTAGTTGCTTGCCAGTCATTTTAATGGTTTTATATAGAAAATCCCTAAGAAATCTTGCTAATGTCCATGCCATACAGTGGAACCCTTATCATAAAAGGAAGGGCCATGGGTCTCACAAAATATGTTCACAATATTATGAGGTTTTATTATATTAAGTTTTTTTTATATATTTTACTTTTACTAGGGTGAAAAATGCATTGCATCATTCGCTAAACTGAGGACTTCTTTATATACAGGTTTTTTAAATCAAGGTTCCACTGTAACAGGTTGCAAATAAAAACAAAATTAAGTTTCCAACAAAAGCGCAAGTAATTAATAAGAAAAATGACAATTTTATACTGGCTGCGTAATGTAACCATTGAGGGCCTGAGAAACCTAAATTCTGATAATAAGCACTGGGCCAACATTTTCCTAACGTGACTTTTTGGTGGGCTTATTTTTGTTAATGTTCAATTATTCATTTAATTTTTTTTAACATTTCCAGGACTTATCGGAAGTTAAAAGCAATTTCAATTTGATGCCTTGGCCTTCACCAGCCACCTTCAACAAATTAAAAAAAGTAAAAGTCAATAAAGGTATGATGATGAAAAAAGAACTGCAATGGTCTATATCTATCAAGATATAAAACTTGAACATAAAATAAACTATGAATGGTATCAATCTAATAAGCACTAAAGCTAACACTGCAATTTGCGTGTAAGAGGACAGACCACAAGGACATGTTCATCTTGGAGAATGTCAATTGCTGGTATAAACTTTCCACTGATTCTCTGAATTGGAATAAATGTTGATTCACCTTCAGGTTCAAAGAGATCTTTGCACCAGACCTCGACAGGAGCACCTAAGGAGTATCTTGATGGGTGAGCTTGAAACCAACGTACAGAAGCCAAAACAGAGGTCACATAATGTCCATTTACTTGTACATTTTGTTTCATAAAATAATCAATAACACCTGGTCTCAAATCAGATCCAGAGGTGTCAATTGTGCCACCAAGTTTACACCACCTTGCCAACACAAATGCTGATCTATCTCCTCTTGATTTAATGGAGCCAAAGAGATCACCATTGAATTTACAACAAGCATAACATTCAAAGTGAGTCGTAACAGAGGTTTCATCCAGCCCATCCAAAAATGTAGCATAGGATTTCTTTAGATGGGGAAGAACATCTACATCTATAGTGTCTCTTGAGTATGGTCCACAGCATGTGTACAAATAGAAACTGCTCTCAAATTTGCCACCAGTTCGCACATGACCAGTGGACAGCACATAAGCTTGGATAATTTCTCCAGACACCTGGTCCTTCTCAGTTAGACACTGTTCTTGAAGACTTCCTGATTGTTTTGAGTACAGTCTGTTAAGCAGAGGTTTAAATATATCTTGGAACTCAACAGGCAAAGGCAGATCCTTCATAAACTGACTTGATAAGAACTTGCGCATTAACTGTATCTCAACAGCACGTTGATTAGTTCCGTACTCACCAAGAATTCCATTATAGCGCTCAAAGCTGAACAGCCAAAATGAGTACACAGGTCCATAATCCAAGACACACTCAACAAGATGGGTATGCAGATGTATGTTTGGAGTTACTCTGTGTTTGCCATACAACTGTTCAAAACCCTGGCAAAACTTCAAAAGGTAGGAGTGGGCCAGCAATGCTTTTGTTTCTGTAAGAACAGTAGAGCACAGGCAAGAACAAGCCATGACAAAATTACGCCACACTTCCATGTCACTGCTGGGCAAGGCATTCCACAAGGCATGTATGGAAAAAAGAACTGTAAATGATTTCCACTGATCGGCTGTGAAGCCCCCATAACTGTTCTGTATTTTCTTGGGCATTCTTCCCACACTGGCGGGAACTTTAAGCTTGTCCATTTTTTCTTGTATCTGTTGCAAGTTATTCTTGTCAAGCAATGACTTCTCTGGATCTAACCATACATTCTTCATAATATGCTTAGCTGTCCCAGTAAACAGATTGTGCATTGGGTCAATAATGTGAAACCGAACACAATCAAAATAAGGCAACAACATTAATTCTGTATACCTTGTTCCAAACTGCTGTTCAAGGTTTGCACAGTCACCAGCAGTTGTTTGGTTCAAGATCTCCTGTGCTTGCAGTCTGTGCTCATTGTTACTCCTTGGAGGGCATGGTTCAAAGCCAGAAAAATCAATTTTGGTACCAACTGAGCCAGGGAAAAATTTCTTGCATTTTGAACAGCCTATATTTGATCCATGGCCAGTAAATCCACAAACCTTTCTCACTGCTGGGATGTCGCAGCCAACACAAAGAAGAGCAGCATGGAATTTGGCATTTGTAGTTGACCCATGTGCCTTGACACTTATGCCATCTTTCCACAGCACATTCAGTTCAGCTACGAGGGGCTGTAAGTATGAATTAATGTTGTGTTTTGGTTCATGGGGCCCAGGGATCACACCAACTAAGAAAACATTTTCTGGTTTGAACCTCTCAGCCCTGGGGAGGTTCATCAGAACCATATAGAGCACTCCAACACTATACACTGAATGCTTGAAAGGCTGGAACCAGTCAACATTGAGCATAAATGCATAGTTCCTCTGTGCTGCCAAAAATGCTTTCCCATCCACGTTCTGCCATTCCTTCCAGATACGTCCATCAAAGATATCTGCAAGGAATCCATCAGGGATACCCCTGCTTCGCCATAATTCACATTTATCGACAAATCCTGGCCTTTGAAGGAATTGACAGAGATTGTCAATGATGCTGTTATAACAGTACACTTTGTGTGGGTAAAGCTTAGTCCCCCCACTCTTTAAGGAAACTTCTTTTAAAAGTGGTTCACCACACTTGGTACGGTGGAAATGTTGCCGATGGTTTGGAAACTGAACAAAAGTACACTTCTTGGTGACTTTTCGACCGCAAACCAGTTCATAGCAGTCATCAAAATTGTACAAAGTGTGACACTTTGGGCACACAATGTATTTAATAAATCTGTCTTTGTCCAGTCCCAGTTGCTTGCGTAGTAAATGGACTGACTTTGGGAACAGCACAGCAAAACTTGCAACAACTGGAAAGATTGTACCCATGGAATCAAACATTGCCCTCAAAAAAGTAAGAAGTATTTCCAATGCATTGTCAGATAATGAAGAAAATGAAGACCAAAGGCACAGGAAAATCAGCAACCAACGAAGAAGATGCTTGAAACTTCCATTTATTCTGGATGTGTTGTTAACATCCACAGAGGGTAGTTGACCCTGATTTTGGGGGAAGTCTGTATCAACATCCTCACCAGGCAAATCCCACACTTCTTTGAGTAATGCGTGTGGCATCCTCTCATGATAAATAAAGTCATTCTCTGAATCACTGTCATCAAAACCATGAACTAAAAGGTAATCTTCCTCTTCTAGATTGTGGATAGGAACACCATCCAAACCTGATAAGTTTAAAAGAGTTATGCATCTGTTATTCTGCACACATTTTTTCAAAAGGTATGCCCACTTCAAAACTGATAGCAGTTGGTGTGCTGCTGTTACAGTATACCTACATGTAGTGCTGAATGGACCATGACAAAATGAAAAATACAGTCAAGCCTTGATTAACTTACACCTCCCAGAAGGGGACAGGAACAACTTCTAAAATACAAAGGCACACTATGAAAGGGACTTGGCCCTTGACCCCAACTAATTTGCATTTTTTTTTGCAAGAGGACTGCACAATAATTATTATTGTTTTTCTCAAATATCAAATCCACTTTAAACATAGTTTGTTTCTCAAAATTCTTTGTTTGCCCTTATATGATGAAAATAAATACCTATAAAATTAACTGGATAATTGTTAAATAATGTATTTCAAATTTGAAATTTGAATGTATTTCAAATTTGAAATTTAAGTGAGCATAAATTTTGAAGTGTATCTATAGAGCATTAACACCCTTACTGGTTATAATAATACTGTGGCAATATTTCACATTAGTTTGCTAGTTTTAAATATTTCTTTCTGTTTCATTCAGAATAAGAAGCAAAGAAAATTTATTCTGTGCTACTTTTAGCTACAATGCATTGCCTTGTTTACTATTGACTGAGCCCTAGTCGTAAATGGGAAACCCCCGTTTTATAGTAACTCTACAAAAAGCAAGGTGTGATTCTGAAAATGACAGTTAGGCAATCCTGTTTGATTCCAGTAACCTGTCTCACTAGTATGTGCATCAAAGTAGCGTTAGCCTATACATACAATGATATACCTGGTTCAGAAACGCTGCCTCCATCACAACTTGCCATTGCGACTGGTCTTTGAATGCAAACATCGTGCAACTGGTTCACTTCTTCAGCACACACGTCAACATCTGCAGGATCGCTTCTTTCCTCATCTGAAGACTCTTCTTGAATCTGTCGAATGTTCCATTGACCACTTTCTTTGTTGTAGTAAAGATCTAAATGCTGCCTATACGTTCTCGTAGAGACGAAGTCTTGGCAATGCTCGCAGAATTTTCGTTTAGTCGACGACATTGATCGCCAAGAAAAAGAAACTCATGAGCCGTTTAACTGTTTATGTGCAGCGAAATACAAAACCGATCCAATAATTTTTTTTCTGTAACGATGAACTTGGGCTCTCCGCTCAGCAGAAGAAAGACTGTGCATGCGCTTGCAACAAATAGGAGTAGAGACTGGACAGAGACAGCAGGGATTCATGCAGAGAACTGAATGGACCAGTAATAACATCAAATGATCTTCAAAGTAGTTAATAAACAGCTACGACGAGATGATGAATTGCGTTTGAACTTTAGGCGGGATATTTCTTCGCTTTTCGTCTCGAAGTCCATGGCAAGGCAAATCCCGAGTAAATCAAAACACCGTATAATGGCAGAGAAACCAGCAAGACGTTCCAGAAGCTCTACCACTCGTACTACTACCACTAGTTCCACCAGAAGCTCTAACACTCGTAGTACTACCACTAGTTCCACCAGAACTTCGACCACACCGATCGTCTCACACGGCGTACAAGCTCGTGGTCGCCTAGAACATCAAGAGGATAACTCGGTAGTCGAGTCGCTGCAAAGAGTTCTAGATGGATTAGGCAGTTTACAAGGATCGATTGAAACTTCTCTGGAATCTACTTCTCTGGAATCCACAGTATCCACCCCTTTGGTGCCGGCCGTCATACCGACGCCAAGAAGAACGTCGACTCCAACAGTATCTCGGGTCCTGGAGCCGCTTTACAGAACCCCGGTTGAAACTGCCAACGATAGTGGGAGCCAAGTTATGGAGCAGTTGCAGGCGTTTTTCGCTAGACAAGGGGATTTTAACAGAAGATTGGAGGAACGGCTCGAGGGACACTTGCAGGGCCAAGGGCGGGAAAACAGACCAACGGCGCAAGCGACGCGGTTTTCGAAGGCGCTTTCAGTAAGTCACCTCTCTTCATAGATTAAGCTTAAGGATAATTAATTTTTCTTTTTTCCCCCGCTTTTTTCTCCCTCAGCGATGATGAAAGTCAAAGTCCCAGTATACAATCCCATGTACGTGTAGAGGGTAAATGTACCCACCCCGCAGGGAAAAACGGATCAAAGTCCAAGGGTCCATTCTCACTACAAAACTACTATCCTTTGTTTGGAGTTAGACTACACGGTGTTTATTGTTGATGGATGTCTTTCAAAACAAATGTGAACACCATGTTATTACTCTTGATCATTTTTAATATATGTAATAGTAATTCATTGAAAATCCCCAAATGATTATATTAGTTTTGATCTAGAAGGCTTCAAGAGGCCATTTCTGAGTTACAGTGCTTGATTTTGGACAAAGACAGTGTCGGACATTTAAACCACCAAAATTTTTAGGGGTTCAAAATATTGACAATACAGTGTAAAACCTATAGTATGTACTTTCTTGGGTGAGGCCATTGTATGTATTCAAGGCTGATAAACTTGATAGAGAAAGAGCTCGGACTAGGCTTTACTAATTCTTTTGTCACTGGAAAGGAATTTTTTTTTCTGAAAAACATAATTCGGGTTAATTCCATTTTGCAGATGTACTATCATTTTTACAGATCTTGTTTTAGACTTATTTGTGTTTTAAAGGCATAAATTTACTTAAGCTATATTCAGCAAAGTGTCTGAAATTTTTTAACTTGCTAACTATTTTTTCAAGGCCCACATCAGGGATGTCTATTCCACTCTGACTAGTGAAGATGGTACAGATGTTAAATGGGATCTATCCAAAAGGTCAGTTTTAATTTTCATTTTTTTCAGAATGGGAAGCTGATGTCAATTGAGAGACTAAAATGATGTTTTGATTAATAAAGACATTGTATGTTTTACAACAAACAGTCTTAGTAGAGTTAGTTTGACATAAATACTGGACTACTTAAAAATGTAAGGGACGTAGTCACATAAAAAAGGGTTCAATGTTGACTTTCCTTGTCAAATATTGTGGACTCTCACAGGCATGTACCACTCAGAGGGTTTAAAAGAGAATTAAGATGACAACACAGTTCTAATTCAGCTTTGATTTGTATTTAGCTTTTCTCATGAAGATAACAGAGCTGTTAATGCAGCAATAATAAATGGAGTCAGAAGTACTGATACTTCCACAACATCAAATGTCATAAGAGGTAAGTGTTTTCTGCAAAAGTGACCAAAGTTGGGTTCAGTAGTTCAAATGTATCTGCAATTAACTCTGCATCAAAGGATATAAAAGGAAAGCTACAGTTAAGATTAATTGTTCAATTCTGTTTTTTAATGTACTTCCTTCCTTCCTTTCTTTCTTTCTTTTTTTATCTTTCAGGTGATGCTAACAATTTACATATAATTAGACATATTTGATTGTAAAAGTGCCACATTCTTTCCTTGTTTTCCTTAATGTTGAATATCTAGCCTGCTAGCAGAAATCTCTTTTTTTTCTGTTGGAAAGAGAGTAGGAGACACCTGCTCACTAGCCATGAATATCCTTCCCTAGTATGTATCACACAAATGAAGAATACTTTGTATACATGAGTGGCTAACTTGGAGGTGAAAAGCCTTTGCATTTTACCTCTGAGTAAAAACAAAATGGTGCAAAGCAGTGATCACCACTTGTTTTTCCCAATTTGTCAGAAAATTAAATATTTATTAGTGGCTGGTTATTCACTTGCAAAATGTTAACTGTTTTTGTTCATGACAGCTGCCATGAGGGTGCATTTCAAGACCCAAAAAAGGCATAAAAAAAACAAAGACACCAACAGACGAGTAGAAGTGCTACAAGTCCTAAATTTGCTATCAGAAACATTTGAGAAATCTGCCAAGCTTAAGGATCAATGACCTGCCAACTGACTCCATACCACACAAAGCAGTTATCCAAAGATAGATGTTGAAAGATCTGGAGCTGGCTGAACATGGTGTGTATTACTAAAGCCAGCTATAATTCAACTTTGTCAAGATGTAGAATTCACTATGAACTCAAAACCCATGAAAATCTTGTGAAATAATTCATTGTAAATTCACAGATTTTTCACAGGATTTTCATGGTTAAATCAATGACATTTTCATGGTCTCAGTGCCATGAAAAAGACCTGAAAAATCCCATGAAAAACCTGTGAAAATTTCCATATTCATGACCCATGAAATATTGAGTAAAGTGACCTAGAAGCCATGAAATACCCATAAAAATGGCATTTCATAGCCTTTTCAAAGGTACTGAGAAACCTATGAATTTCATGCCCAAAAATTTCATGGTGTCAAAGTTCACTAGTTTTTAATGGGTTGCAGCAAATCATGACCCATGAATATCCTGTGAATATGTAAAAAATTCATTGACCATGAAAATTTTCCTTGAATTTTCACAGCCTCTACATGGTTTTTTCATGGCACATGAAAGTGAATTGCCAGTTAGTTTTCATGGGGTTGTTAGGAATATGCAAGCACCATGAAAATTCTTTGGAAACCCTATGAATTTGGAATTAAAAATTCTTCACTTTTCTTGTACCAAAGACTGTACTACAGTGTATAGCTTGCAGTATACCATAACTGTAATACATACACTATCACTTAAAATTATACACTGAAGAACTAACCTCTCTGTGAAACTTCTTGGTCCTGTTGTACAAGCACACACACATGAAAGACATGAGCAGAAGTCTGGATTCTCTGATAGTTTATTTTGTTTCACCAGCTGTACATAAATATTACTTTAGGATTCCAAAATTGTGATAATTCAGTTTACACTTTCTTAAATAAAAAAAGTTGGTATGAAATTTTCTGCATAAAATTGAGATGTTAATGATTTTTAGCTCTATTTTGATATCACTGATTTTCCTAGTGGAGACAGATTCTGCTCCTATATTTCTTCATATCTGTTTACTCTGATTTAAATAATTGTGGCTGTACATTAAAAATATTTCTGTTTTTTTAAACTATTTTGAAGGTATATTATAAATAAATTTGATGTGAAAAATATTTAGACGAATTATTGAAAATATACTCACTGGTTTGATGTATTTTTGTCTAAACTTCAAATATCATTTCCTTCGTCTAATATCGTGTAAAATGTTATGGACAGTTATTATTATGTCTTTTTATGTAACAGCATTCATGTAAATTTCTTGATATGTTTTACACTTGTGATCAATATTCTCAAGGTAACTAACAACAAAGCAATTACCAACTTTCTGCAATCTTGCATGTGTGAAGATATATCTATGGCTGACTATGTCAGTGTCTCTCTGTTTTGGCCACCTGAATGTGCCATCCTTCTTTCGGTTATCATTACTATTTGCACGTTCATCATCATTTGGACCAAGATAGTCTGCTTTAGCAAGTTTGCATTTCCTTTCATCAGTTTTGTAGACCAACACTCTTCACTGTTTGCAAAATAAAGGGAGCACATCATCAGTTATCTAAGAGCCTTTCTTTTGTACGTAGTAAACCTAGAAATGGATAACTCGCCAAAACAGGTTCTTTTCAACATGAAGCCGTCAGATACTAAGCGACGCACTGTGGAAGTGACGTGAGATATTTCGTATTCAGAATTTGACTGTATTTTTTATTCCTAAGGACGGTCGTAAGTATTTCCATACAAACTCTTGTAATATTTCGCCTGATAATCACAGAATAAACATTTTCAAGTTAAATCAATAGTTAGCGCGCGCGCTCCGATGTTTACGCGTAATAAGATGACCAAGCTTGAACTTACCCCTTCACGTTGTAATGCATATCGATAACTTCATCTTGAGGAAACCTCTTTGAAAAAACTTTTCAGACGGTCCATTGCGTTGATCTGGAAAAAAAGAGACTGCTACACAAATACTACGAGAAATGCAATTGGAATGGAACCATTCCGTTCGAGGTACGAAAAAAAACCGCCACTTCTTCGTAAATCACGTGTACTTTCACGTGATGACCTTAGGTCATCGCAGCCATCATAGGTCAGCGGTCACATGGTGACCTCACAGGTTATCGTGTTCGACGTTACGAAATGACTCCGAAGAGGTCTTGTCACTGCGTCTGTAATCTTACAAAATAAAGCAGCACAAAAAGCTGTTCGGTGTTTGGAATTCGAAGCAAGTAGCAATCGA